GATATCAAATTCACCTATTTTAACAGTTTTTTTAGTATACAGTTCATTGGCAGTAAGTACATTCACTTTGTTGGGCCACTGTTACCAGGATGCAGAGGGAGGAGATGGGGAATTTATCTCTGAGGGTCACCTAGAGTAGTCAGATAACTACCTCTGCTTGGTGCATCCCAGCCCTTTACAAAAGCCACTACTCTTAGGAACTTTTCATTGCTTTAATCTGAGAGAGAGGTAGCGAGGACCTGTGGGTGGTGGTGATAGGGATGGGGAGCAGAAAATGGACTCGGAAGGTAGGCGCATAGGACTGGGTGACTGGATGTGGGGTGAGTCAGAGGGTAGCATGGGACGTGAAGAAAGTTCCCTTTCTTCTTTGAAGCCCTAGAGTGCTTGCTTCTTAATGCCCCTGTCATAGGCTGGTGAAGAATATAACCTTCTAGAAGTTGGGCTCTGTGCCACATTCATCCTCATTTCTTAAGTTACCAGCACGGTCCACAGGGCTTGGCCTGTGAACCCTTTGTAATAAGGATGAAATGAGTAAATGGAAGGTCAGGTTTGTTTCAGTAAGAAGCCACTATCAGAATTAATTGACTGGGAGGAATAAGGGACAGATAGTCGAGGTTTGGGGCCAGAAGCTGAGCAACGTTGCCCATCCCTGGAGAGGTCTAATAGCATTGGATCTATATTTGTAGACAACTGGGTTCCTCGGAGCACCCTTATATTCCCCCACCCCCACTTTAAGCATCCCCAAGCTGTAATTTGGGCTGCCTGCTGTTCAGTTTCCATGCTACCATCTATATCAAGGGCCTTTTTTAGGTCAGTCTGGTAAACTGCAGTTTTTGGTAAAAGCACTGTGGCCGACAGACTGCCAGAGCGGTAGAGTTTCCATTAAGTACTGACTGAGCCACAGCCGTATGTCTGCTGCAGAAGTTCTTGTTGGTTCAAGCTGCTTTGAAAAGTGAGTTCCTGAAACAAGGTGGGAGAATAGTTAGTTCCTCTCTGTACAGAATAAACCCTGTCAGGAGCACTAACCTCGACCCTGGGTGCCAGATGTTGGAGGAGGGAGCAAAGAACTTAGGAGACTTGAGCTCCAGTTTTCTTGCAGGAAGGGCCCTGGGAGACTGACTGCTATCCCACACTGTCTATAAGAAGAGGTCTTTGGGGAAGAGTTTATTACTATCATTTTACTGGTGGGGCTGCTACTTGTCCAGGCTCACATAGCTAGTTGGTCGAAGTGGGATTTCAACCCTGACTTTTCTGTTACATACCAAGAGAATTTAGAAACTGGAGCAATTCCAGGGAAGGCAGCACTGTGAGGAGGGTGCGGATGCCATGGTGGTAGGTGTACTGGCCAGGAGGTGAGGAAATTTGAAAAGACATTCAAATATTTGAGTGGACCTGACTACTTTGGTCAGAGGCAGCATGATGGTAGTGGAAAGGGCTCAGACTTCAGACTTGGGCACCAGGTCTCCCTCCCTGTGGTTAGAGATCATGTCAGGTTCATCTTTACATTGCCAAAACAAGTATTCCCAACATATACAGGTATATAGGAGGTGCTATGAATATACTGATCATGGAAAAGGTGTCCTTTCCTTTCCTAAGCTGCATTCTGGTGTTCCTGACCTTCACCCTTCCAACTCCTCTGGAACTTGCTTGGATCTTAGGATGATCTCCCTACCTCCTAGCCTGTAATTTGTTTCCTGTTGCTGCTATAACAAAGTACCACAAACCCAGAGACTGAAACGCTTATTATCTTAGGGTTCTTTAGTTCAGAAGTCTGAATTGGGTTTCACTGAGCTAAAATGAAGGTGGCAGCAGGGTTGTGTACCTTCCTGGAGGCTCTTGGGGGAGGACCCATTTCCTTGCCCTGCCAGCCTCCCTAGGCTGCCCACATTCCTTGGCTCCTGGACCTCTATGTCCATCACCAAAGACAGCGGCATCCAGCCAAGTCTCTCTGGCATCACATCACTCGGACAGACTCTTCTTTCTTCTGTTATAAGCCCCATTGGGATTACATTGGGCCCTGGACGATCCAGGATGCTCTCCCTATTTTAAAGACCATCTGAGGGTGGGACGTGGTGGCTCACGCCTGTAATCCCAGACTTTGTGAGGCCAAGGTGGGTGGATCATGAGGTCAGGAGATCAAGACCATCCTGGCTAACACAGTGAAACCCCATCTCTATTAAAAATATAAAAAATTGCCGGGCGCGGTGGCTCAAGCCTGTAATCCCAGCACTTTGGGAGGCCGAGGCGGGTGGATCACGAGGTCAAGAGATCGAGACCATCCTGGTCAACACGGTGAAACCCCGTCTCTACTAAAAATACAAAAAATTAGCTGGGCATGGTGGCGCGTGCCTGTAATCCCAGCTACTCAGGAGGCTGAGGCAGGAGAATTGCCTGAACCCAGGAGGCGGAGGTTGCGGTGAGCCGAGATCGCGCCATTGCACTCCAGCCTGGGTAACAAGAGTGAAACTCCGTCTCAAAAAAAAAAAAAAAAAAAAAAAAAAAAAAAAAAAATTTAAAAAATTAGCCGGGCGTGGAGGCATGCACCTGTAGTCCCAGTTACTCAGGAGGCTGAGGAGAATCACTTGAACCCGGGAGGTAGAGGTTGCAGTGAGCTGAGATTGTGCCACTGCACTCTAGCCTGGGCAACAAAGCCAGACTCCATCTCAAAAAAAAAAAAAAGACCCATCTGATTAGCAACCTTGATTCTCCTTTGCCATGTTAGAATAACATATTCACTGGGATTGGGATGTGGGCATATTGGGGAACTATTTTCTCTACCAAATAACCTGCTCTCTCTCCCTTTCGCAAGGTTTTCTTCTTTACTTATAAAGCCAAACTCATCTAGCCCCTATCATAGCTAAAATACAATTCTAGAGGAAACTTCCTTCTCAAACTATGATCTCATTTTGCCCTTCATCTTCTCAAAAATAGTCTGTGATGTATTCACTCAGTTTCTTCTTGTTTGTCCAATGGAACTTATCTCAAAAAACAGTCCTGACTATACTTAAGTTTTTGTTTAACTTGTGGACAGAGACTTATGGATAGGTGCAAAAAATAAATCCTCTTTTGCAACCCAGAACGCATTGTTTAGTATGAGTTTTGATACATATAAGAAGGGATATTATGATAAGAAAAAGAAAAAAAAAACAGTACTGATAGCTCCCCGTTGCCAGGTGAGTACTTGGCCGCTTCCCTGTTCAGCTCTTCTGTGTTCTTTGTCCTGTGGATCTCCTCCTCCCTGAAGCTGTCCCCTTCTTGGCTTTCTGGTATTCCTCTTACCTGTCTGCTCCTGAGTCTCCTTTTCTCCCTTCTCTTTTTCTTCTGTCCCTGGAAGTCTTAGTCAATTTGTTATCCACGCCAATCTCATCTTCTCCCACCATTTTAATTCTGAACCTGGTGCTGCAGATTCCCAGATCTTGCTCTGACCTCTTTTCTGAACCCTCAGTCTGAATTTCTTATTGCTTCCCTTGGGTATTTCCAAATGAAAAGACCCTTGGGTACATGTTATATACCCCATGCAGCGTGTTTAACCTGGTTCTTAGCCCCCACTTTCACACGAGCCCTCTTAAAGCCTCTCACCTTGGTAGTCCAGGCTAGAAATAACCATCATTTCTGGCTTCTTTATTCTCATTTCTTTTTCTTCCTAGTATCTGCCATAGCCCATATGTTCTAGGCCTATTTTCCAGGTGCCCTCAAAAGTGCCAGTGGGGGCAGGTGGCAGGGAAACAAGAAAGAATATTATGGGAGTATAGGAATAAACCAAATAAACTTTGTTTTTATCTTAACCTTTTTTTCTTTTTTTTTGAGAGGGAGTCTTACTCTGTCACCTAGGCTGGGGTGCAGTGGTGTGATGTCAGCTCACTGTAACCTCTGCCTCCCGGGTTCAAGCGATTCTCCCGCCTCAGCCTCCCGAGTAGCTGGGAATACAGGCGCATGCCACCACACCTGGCTAATTTTTGTATTTTTCGTAGAGATGGGGTTTCACTCTGTTGGCCAGGTTGGTCTTGAACTCCTGACCTCATGATCCTCCCACCTCAGCCTCCCAAAGTGCTGGGATTACAGGCGTGAGCCCCCATGCCTATCTTAACCTTTTATAGTCTGTTTTTGCTTTAAAATGTGCATATGTGCATTAGTATTAGTATATGTAATTGATTAGTAAGTAGTACATAGTTTGGGGGTACATGCTCCTAAATTTTCTGTTTACATGGTGAGACTATCAAAGTTGGGCAAGTATGGATTTTCCAGTTTGTTTTAGCCAGAGAATGCTTTTACTTACGTCATGATTGATTGATTGATGGGAGACAAAGTCTCACTTCTGTCACCCAGGTTGGAGTGCAGTGGTGTAGTCTCAGCTCATTGCAGCCTTGATCTTCCAGCCTCAGGTGATCCTCCCACCTCAGCCTCCTGAGTAGCTGGGACTACAGGTGCATGCCACCATACCTGGCTAAATTTTTCTTTCTTTCTTTTTTTTTTTTTTTTTTTTTGTGGAGACAGCATTTTGCCATGTTACCCAGACTGGTCTCAACCTCCTAGGCTCAAGGGATCTGCCCACCTCAGCCTCCCACAGTACTGGGATTATAGGTGTAAGCCACTGTGCCTGGCCAGAACCCTTTAAGTGAAATCTTAATCAATTAAAAAATATAAATCAAAAACAGAGCCATTCTGTTTGGAAAGAAAGTAGGGCCTCAAGCCCATTTTGTTCACTGTAATGGAGTCTCCTGAGGCACTTTTTGGATGTACATTTTGAAAACCAGTGGTTTAGATAGTCGGTATAGTTCAGGTCTGATTAAATCTATGGTCATGTAAGTCTTCATGGACATCAGTAGAAAAAGGTCCCTAATATCCTCCCTCCACCATATTCCTCCACACTGCTGCAGCATCCTTAATCACGGAAGCACAGATCACATCCTCTTCGTTTCTCCATACCTTCTTCCTTTCCTGGGCAGCCCTTTGCACACAGTAGGTGCCCAGTGAATATTTGTTGAATGAATGGCAAATGCATGCCAATACTTTGTTGGCAAAATTTACGTTTGGAAGAGCAGGCTCTGTTCTTCCTGGACATGGCCTGTTTAGAAGTTGTTTTTTCTTGGCATTCCAGTTGTGGTCCTCAACCCCTGGGGCTCTGTGTAGTCACGCATGGAGTCTATCGGCCCAGGGCGTCTTCTCTGAAGTAGCACTGCAGCATTTATGGCATTGGTTTTTGTCACAGTTGCAAAGTGGCCCTCTTTCAGGCCTCATTTCCTTGCTTAATGGATTTGCTAACCCTGCGTCTCCTAATGTCAGTATAACCAAGTTTTAAATATGTTGATTAGGGAGAAACCCTTCTGTAGTGTTTCTGCCAGTCCTGTACATTTAAATCTAATTACACTTGCCTTGACATTATGTAAATACAGTATTAAATCAACCTTTCCCTTTGCAGCCAGGCCAGAGTTTCAGATGCATGTTCTGTCCTGGCTGATGTTCTCTCCTGGAGAAGAAGCAACTAACTGAGGGATGAACAGTATCTGTTAGAGCTGAAGTCTTGGCAGTGTATAAGGAGAAGTTTGCCTATTTTAGTAGGTCAGCTGCTGCTCACCCCTTTAGGTGTCCCCTAGACACACCTGGGTGGCCCAGCTGCCTGGCACATTTTAGCAGGTACTGTTGACCTTCTGGGCCAAGAAAGGGGCCGCTGGGCTCGTTGAGGGCTCTCTCACTTGGGCTACCTCAGTAGTCTCATGGCAGTGAGCTTAAGGGACAGGGCGTGGCTCTTTCTCAGAGCTAGAGCAGGCTTGTTTTTGGTACATTTGTTTCAGGCTGCTCCTGAGAAGGCCACGAACTATACTTGGGTTTTGCCCTACATTTACATAATCCCTGTTCAGAATAGTTTGGGACGTGGTATTGTCATTTGGCTTTTTGTAAGCCAGGCATTTTCTGTGTTTGGTTTTATATATCTTTTTGTTGCTCTGTGCCCATCTCTTTCCTTTGGTTTTCACTGTAAGGCTAACTTGTGCTGTGTCTCAAGTGGAGACATGACCAATTTAATTTTTTCTGGTTTGCCCAGGTTGCAGATGAATACATGTTTTCCCTGGAGGAGAATAAGAAGTCCAAGGGCCGCCGTCAGCCTTTAAGCAAGCTCCCCCGCCATCACCCACTTGTGTTGCAGGAGTGTGTCAGTGATGAGGGTAAGTGTTGTTTTTTCTTCATCAGGAGGAAAGCAGCTCACCACATTAGACTTGACAGGACAGGACATCAGAAGGCCAAGCTGAGGGATAAGAGTGGGCCTGCGGCTTAGCTGCTCTCCCAGATATTCCATAAGGAGGACAGGATTCCTTATATCGAATTGACCAAATTTCATTGTAAGTTTTAGTATCTTGGAGTGTACCCTTATTAGGGGATAATTGCAGGCAGGTTTTTTCCTTTTTTTTTCCTTGGAGGTACAAGGCTGATTTTTCAGGATAGAAAATTCTGTCAGTGATGCAAAGCCCTGTGCTAGATATGTGGCTGCAGAGCTAACTAAGATCATGTTCGTGCCCTCAAGACACTCACAGGGTAGTGAGGAAACTGGACAGGTAAACAGATCACAAGAAAGAAGAGGTGTTAGTCTGGGCAGAAGGATAGCAAGCATAGCCATGGAGAAGAGAAGCAGGAGGCTGTCGTCAGAGGAACTATAGTCAGCTCACTGTGGCTGGAGCTGGAGGGCAAGGCCAGGGAGTGCAGTGATAGGTGGGGTAGGAGGAGGGAAGCAAGATTCTGGACAGTGTTATCATTGGAGGCCAGAGTGAGGACCTTGTCTTACTGGCATTCAGGAGCCAGTGACATGTTTTAAGCAGAGGAATGTCATAGTCATTTAGATGCTTTTAGAAAAGATCACTCCTAGTGCTGGCTTCTTGAGGATGGCTTTGAGAGGACCAGATGGGCTTCTGTAATGGTCTGTCTACGATATGAAGATCTGAAGTGGATGGTGGTGGCAGGGAGTGTATTTGGAAGATAAAATCAGCTGGATTTGGTGACTGGCTGTGGAGCTATGAGGATGGTAGTTGAGGACGATGAGTTGAGTGTGTCCCCGGTTTATAGCTTTGGTTGGGGAAACCTGTGGATGTAGACTTATAAGTTGGCACTGGGGTGACATTTGATACCATTGTTGGAAAAATGAGGCCACTCTTGGGGAGGGGACCTATTGGGGTGAGCAGAGGCTGGGGCTAGGTGGACACAGGAGGGAGGGTAGCCTGTGAAGGAGGCAGAGAAGTGGGGTAAGCAGACATGTGTAAGGAGAACCAGGCAATGTAGCACTGAAGCTCAGGATGCATTGACATCAGTGAAGAGTGGTCTCCTTTGCTTCCTGGAGCCCAGAGATCCAGAAAGATCAGCATTGCAGAGCCTCAGCTCCGGCTGTGTTTGTGACTGGGCCCTGGTACCCTCAGGGAGAGCAGAATCAATTGTACTTGTTACTCTTGACTAATGTCAGGCTCTGTCCTACCCGGTCCTCTCCTTCCTGATCTGATGTCAGTGCCCCATCGCTGCTGTTTTTTTTTTTTTAAGTTGAAAGATCATGATAAACTGGATGGGGAACATCCCTTCTGCCCTCTAGTCTGAAGTGTAGCAGGACCCTGACAAAGGTCCTAGGAAGCCCTCTGTGTTCTTATTCCACCCAGACAGGAGCTTCAGGTTCTCTGGGTAGCACCAACCTGTCTCCGGATTGGTTTACAGCAAGGTAGACTTTGGGAAACTGTAAAAGTTACCAAGAAGAAAACAAAATTACCCTTCAAAGATGACCATTATGAATATATTAACGTATTATCTATTCTCCTGACTTTTCTAGTCATATATTAGAATATGTCCATGTATATCTTTTTAAAATAATGAAATAATGCAATTGAGATAATAATATACAACCTCTCCTACTTTTTTTTTTTTTGAGATGAAGCCTCACTCACTCTTGCCCAGGCTGGAGTGCAGCTGGCGTGATCTTGGCTGACTGCAACCTCCACCTCCTGGGTTCAATGATTCTCCTGCTTCAGCCTCCCAAGTAGCTGGGATTACAGGTGTATGCTACCATGCCCAGCCAATTTTTGTATCCTTAAGTAGAGATGGGGGTTTCACCATGTTGGCCAGGCTGGTCTTGAACTCCTGACCTCAAGTGATTCACTGCTTCAGCCTCCCAGAGTGCTGGGATTACACACATGAGCCACCACGCCCGGCCCCACAATATCCTTTCATCTTCAGTCCATGCCCATCTTTCCCCGCTTGTCCCAAGAATGTGTTTTATAGTTATTTCCTTTGAACTCTAATATAAATCAAGCTAAGGTAACATACTGTATTGGGAAGTTGTTTCTTTAATATTTATGCCACCCCCTACTTTAAAATAAATTTCAATTCAAGCATAACAATTCAGTGACATGCACACATTTGAACTATACAGCTCAATGAAGTATTACATATGTAAACTGTATAATATTGCTTCCTGAAATTTTCACTTAATGTAGTGAACATTTCCCTCATCATTCAGTATTCACAAATGTAATGATTTGGGGCCACTTTTGGCTTTGTAAATGGAACAGATGTCAGTGTGTTAATTTTTTAGTTGTGAGTGTGAGCCTATCTGTCTGTTTCTGTTTCTTCCATTCTATCTTGGTCACTCCTGTTTGGCCAGGATAAATTAAAAAATCTGTGCTTGGGTTCTAGGCATCGTGGTTCCTGATTGCAGCTGAACAATGGGGCACACAGGGGTTGGTTTTAATTGTCTGCGTTGGTGTCCTTAGGCTACACTGAGGCGGTGCACAATGGCAGCTGCCAGATGCCTTTAGATTTAACATGACTTTGAGGGCAGAGTAGAAAACTATCTGCACTGAGCTGGTGATGCCAGAAATGAAGAAACAGGAACCTAATGCAGGTACAGAGCAGAGCGCTCCTTGGCTGCTTTGAACAGATTTCAGGGCGTCTAGGAAAGCATTTCTGACTGGGAAGACGCGAGATCACTGGAGGGTCATAGCCAGGGATTGATGATGCCACTCATAGCGAGATGCAGTGATCCCTTGGAATGCCCCCTGTGATGGGGCTGGCACAGAGCCAGTCTCCTATCAGGGGCCGCATAGTTGGGCCTTGCGTGATCACACTTGGCAAAGAAGGGCATAGCAACTGTAGCTTCTCATACCTCCCCGGCATGGTGGAGCATCTGGAGAAACATTTTGGACATCTACCAAAGACTGTCCTCATTTACTCATAACCTTCAGAATTCTGGCGTTTCCTTTTACTTCCCTGTTTCTGTTTCCTTGTTTCTGCTGGGAGCTTGTAGACTGTGCCCCTGTCTCACTGATTGAGGAAGAACTGGGAAATGTGCACCTTTATCACTTTATCACTTAAGTTTTGTGAGCAAACTTTTTTTCTTTTCCACTCAGCTGTATATCCCTTTCTTGTAGGAAGATGCACCCAGAGGGGATTTTTCTTTCCCGGGCCCTGGTGAAGTCCAATAAATTGTATGCTCTGTTGTCTAGCATACCTAGGAGGTACAGTCTGTCATGACCAGGGATATATGAAGGGCCAGGAAGTAAATATTTTAGGCCGTATAGTCCTCCTTGGTTTCTGTGGTTGTCATTTTTTAAATTTTTAAGCCCCAATGCTGAAAATGTAAAAACAAAGCTGGGTGCAGTGGCACATGCTTGTTATCTGAGCTACTTGGGAGGCTTTGGCGGGAGGATCACTTGAACCCAGGAGTTTGAGGCTGTGGTGGGCTATGATCGCACTGTAAATAACCACTGTACTCCAGCCTGGGCAGCATAGTGAGACTCCATCCCTAAAAGTAAAAACAATTTTTTTTTTTTTTTTTTTGAGACAGAATTTCACTCTGTCGCCAGGCTGGAGTGCAATGGCATGATCTCGGCTCACTGCAATGGCACAATCTCGGCTCACTGCAACCTCCGCTTCCCAGGTTCAAGCAATTCTCCTGCCTCAGCCTCCCTAGTAGCTGGGATTACAGGTGCATGCCACCGTGCCCAGTTAATTTTTTGTATTTTTAGTAGAAACGAGGTTTCAACATCTTGGCCAGGCTGGTCTCAAACTCCTGACCTTGTGATCCACCAGCCTCAGCCTCCCAAAGTGCTGGTATTACAGTTGTGAGCCACCGCACCCGGCAAGTAAAAACAATTCTTAACTTCCCGAGTGGGCTGGATTCAGCCTGCAGGATATTGTTTGCCAGCGTCAGGACATTACGTCTTATGGCTGGGAAGAGGATTCATTTTGGGCATGCAGCTCTGCTTTCTTCTAAGGCAGAGCTAGGAAGGGCTAGGGAACCTTGTCCAGAATAGGTACCCCTGATCTTTCCAGAGGTAGCTGGGAAGTCCTGGCTAAGGACCATATTACAACTTTTAAGCCTTGCCCATTCCGTTATTTTCTTTCCTTGTTTAGTTGCACTAAAGGGAAAACTCTAAAAGGTAAAGGACTTAACATGCTGACATTTTGGAGGCAGCAAATAAGACAGTTTCTGGCAAGATGCTGGTTCATTCTGCTGTCCTTGGGCAGAGGGGTTGAATGTGGCAGCTGTTAAGGGAGAGCAGGGCAAGCTGAGCTCGTGGGGCAGGAGGAAGAATGTAGGCCATGAGTCAGTCTGGCCAGAGAATGGGGTACTGGCAGGACTTCCAACACATCATCCAGATATTGAAGGAGTCTATTGACAATTGCTTCCACCCTTTCCCTTTATCATCCTTAGGAATCCAGGAGTCACCCTCGGTCAAAACCTAGGACCAGAAGTCCTAGTTGAACTCATCTGCTCTCCTGGCACAGTGACAGGTGTGCAGGGTTGGTGCTGACTCACATTTCTGTTTCCTCCTCTAGAGACATCTGAACAGCTGACCCCTGAGGAAGAGGCTGAGGAGACAGAGGCCTGGGCTAAACCTCTGAGCCAGCTGTGGCAGAACCGACCTCCAAACTTTGAGGCCGAGAAGGAATTCAATGAGACCATGGCCCAGCAGGCCCCTCACTGCGCTGTTTGTATGATCTTCCAGACTTACCATCAGGTAACTCAGCTCCACGCACTCTGTTTACCCAGGACCAGCAATCAGAGGGAAGCTAGATTTGTTAGTATTTAGCTTGTCACTGGTTGTCTTGGGAAAGGCCTCCTCCACCCCCAGCATTCTCTGCCCCATCTGTGTATTGGTCAGTCTTCTCCAGGCAGATAACCCAGCATTGTGGGTTTCAATTGAGAATGCTTTGGAGACAAGCTGAGGGTGGGCTTAGGCTTCCCTTTGCACATGCACTCATCACAGACATCATTGTTTGCATAGCAATCTGCATTTTTGTTAGTCAAGCCCATGACTATTCCTGCCAAGTGGTTTGCAGTCCTGGCCAATGTGGAGAACTGTAATTTCTTTTTTTTTTTTTTTTGAGAACTGTAATTTCTTTACCACAGCCTGAACTTCAGATGAAAAGCTAGATCCTCTAATGTTGTCTTTCCTTTCTCATTGCCACAATGGGTGTTGCCAGTAGCAGAAGGAACTTGGATAGAGGCAAGGGCCTGATATGTGAGGGGCTGGGAAGCGAGGTTGCTGAGTTCAGCTGTGTGCCTCCTACTCTGGGGCTTCTGTGGCTTCGTTGATGGATCTCTTTGGGTCCAGCTGTAGGATGCCAGGAACGCATTCACAGCAGCAGGTGCCAGGAGACCAGCTCAGTCCCAGCTGGGACCTACACAGGGTGGCAGGGGTAGATAAGTGGTCCTTACCTGTTCTGGTGGTTAAAGTGGCCTGGCTGCTGCTGAGACTGGCAGGGCCCCAGATTCATGCTTGCTAAAAATGGAACCTCAGACCAATACACTTTGGATTAGGAACTCACTAAACCTTTCCATTGACAAAAAGCAAAACCAAAGCCTTTGCCTGTGAGAGGAGTGAATGGCTGGGTTCTTACTATCAACAGGTCTACTAAGTAGGAGTTTCACAAATGACATAGGCTCTGGGGTTGACATGTTTCTGGGTCTCATCCTTAGAATGGCGGTGAAGGTGCCATCCAGCAGCAGAGCCGAGCCAGCAGATACTTGCAATCAGTATAGTTTGCCAAGGGAAGTATGTGGATATAAGTTCTTCCTGGAGGGACCCTGAGCCAGGAATCACAGGTGGGGCTCCAGCCATGTAACAGTGCTGCAGCTCAGCACTGCTGCTGACCTGCTGACAGGCATCACCAGAGGCAGTCAGTGCTGGCCCATTAAGAGCATCTGCTCTGGGTGCTCTCCCCAGGTGGGGTCACCATACGGTGTAGCATGTAAGGGAGCCCACAGTAGCAGCCTACCTGCTAACACCTCAGTGCATTTTTGTCTTGTTTTGTTTGAGATGGAGTCTTAGTTTGTTACCCAGGCTGGAGTGCAGTGATGTGATATTGACTCACTACAACCTCTGCATCCCACGTTCAAGCGATTCTCCTGCCTTAGCCTCCTGAGTAGCTGGGATCACAGGCATGCACCACCATGCCCAGCTAATTTTTGTATTTTTAGTAGAGATGGGGTTTCATCATGTTGGCCAGGCTGGTCTCAAACTCCTGACCTCAGGTGATCCATCTGCCTCAGTGTCCCAAAGTGCTGGGATTACAGGCATGGCCTCAGCACTGCAATCCTACCTCGCCTGGCCTCTCAGTGCATTTTATTACCACTTGCTTTGGGAAGACTGAAATCCCAGTTGCCTCTTACCTTGCTCCCTTTTCTCAGTTGTCCCCTAGGGGCCTTTGTTTGATGCTGCTGTGAGAAATTGAATTTGAGTCATTAGAGGTAACTTCAATTAGCAGCTCTGGGATAATGGCTGTGCACCCGGGAGCTATAGCCATAGTCAGATCGGTAAGAGAGCCAGCTTTCTGCTGATAGAGCAGGTGGAAGGCTAAGAGCATAGGTATGTGCTCACTGAGGTGTACACTTGTTCTTTCCCCTTAGGTTGAGTTTGGAGGCTTTAGTCAGAACTGTGGAAATGCTCCAGATTTGGCCCCCCAGAAGCAGAGGACCAAGCCATTGATTCCAGAAATGTGCTTCACTTCGACTGGCTGCAGCACGGACATCAACCTTTCTACTCCTTACCTTGAGGAGGATGGTACCAGCATACTAGTTTCCTGCAAGAAGTGCAGCGTCCGGGTCCATGCCAGTGAGTGCTGCTCACCTTTCTCTGTGTCCTGTCCCAGGAGTATGGACCTGCTCACTGCAAGTCCTTGCCACGTACTGGCCTCCCAGTCCCTAAAAGGTTATTGCCGTGTTATTGGGGAGTTTTTTTGCTGGTTGATTTTTTTACTGTGTCTTCAGGGGTCCATACTTGCAGTAGTCATCTCTGTGCTATCCTCTTAGTTGCAGATAGCAGAAAGGGATTAGTCCCTGCTACTTACTAGGTTTTTGTATTAGTGAATCTATAGTTTTTGACTTTTTGAGACTTTGAGCCATACTGTACACCTGAGTCCTGGGGACTCAGACTAAAGAAAACTCAGGGTTTTCTGTGAAATTTGGTTGTAGCTTTGGGAGGTGGTATATGGAAAGGAATTGCAGATCCACCTTTTGACTCTGACCATTGGGTTTAATTTGCTCATCTTGGTGTCCCTGTTAGGTTGCTATGGGGTTCCCCCTGCAAAGGCTTCTGAAGACTGGATGTGTTCTCGGTGTTCAGCCAATGCCTTAGAGGAGGTGAGTGATCCTGCACTGTTACTGTCTTCACTGCGAGTCTTGGCACATATTCAGGGCCAGACGATTTCATGTTGGACTTAGTATTCCCAGCAATCTGCATAGGGCCTGGTGCACAGTGATGTCAGAGAGCGAGTACTGTGAGAGTGAATCCTATGACAGTGAGAGTGGCTGCCCACTTAACGGAGTCTGGGCGCTGTGTTTGCTCCATTGTGTAAGACCAACGAGTGGTCTTCCTGTGGAGGAACAATAACTCCCTTACAACAATTTAGCCATTTTGAGTTGAAGCCTCAGAAAGGGGCTCAGATGATTCATTGTGCAGCCTTCTCTTCATTATACCCCCTGGAACCTGGCTGTACCTAGCCCATGTCAGAGCCCTGTCGTGCCTCTAGTTCAAGGAAAGTATTTTTTGTGACTCTGCTGAGTTGTTATTAGTAGTAACAGTGAAGAGGATTGTGTGAAGTCACGCGAATACTTGGTACACTTTAGCCCTGAGTCGTCTTTCTTCCAACAGGGCGTCCTGGTGCAGGGGCTGCCTGGTTGAAGCCCCAGATGCTATTATGCTGCTTTTTTATGTTGAGGAGTTGCCCAGAGCAGGTCCAGAGGAGAGCAGATTGAATGTTAATGACTTGGTGTTAACCACTTTTTCTTCCCTCTCTCTTCTTGGCAGGACTGCTGTTTATGCTCATTACGAGGAGGGGCCCTGCAGAGAGCAAATGATGACAGGTAAGTTTCCTTAGCTGTGGCTTGGAATGCACAGGCTGAGTTCTGAAGCATGCAGTGCCTTTGTGAGGGTACTAGCTGTTCTTCTGAATGACTGATGAGGATTTAGGAAGCACATCGTGTGGAGCTGGAATAGCATCTCCAAGACTCATTTTAAAAATGGAATGCTAAGGGAGCCAAGCAGCCCCAGACTTTCCAACTCCAGCTGCTCCTCCGCAGCAGAGATGTCAGTGACATCCTCCTTTGAAGGAGCTAAGAATGGACTCATGAGAATACGAAGGCCGTGAAGATGATACACAGGGACTGTGTGGGCTGGAGTGAGGACATTCACCTTGTCACACCTGGGGCTGGTGTGCAGAGGTAGCCACAGGCTAGCAAGCACTTCTCCACACGGCAGACTCCCTGGCTCAGACCTGCTGTTCGGAATGAGGCGAGTGTGCTCAAGGAGGACACTGAGGAGAGCTCAGACAGGACCGCCCGCTATGGAACTGAATCTACTGAAGTTTCTGGGCTTCTCAGCTGTTGGGCAGCTCGTTTTCATGGAGTGAATTTTTGTGCTTAGACATGTGTTTGCTCATTCTGAGGTGGAAACGTAAGCTCAGTGAGGTTTCTGACCTGAAAGAGCCGGCTGTCTAGGGCATGGTGTATGCAGGTCAGTGCTGAGTGTTCTGCTTCCAAGTAGAATCCTGTGGAAACTTGCAGCATACGTTCAGTCCAGCACCTGCCCCCAGGAGTCCCCGTCATGCTGTCCCTGATAGATGGCTACTCTGCTTGCTGCTTCTGCTCCTTTAAAGGCACTTGGTGCCATTATTTGAGGTCACTGTGTTCCTCACAATCTCAGGATAGTGCTGGGAACATTATTTCTTATTTGGAGTGGAAGTGGCTCGGCTTGAACCTCTTGCCTTTACCTGTGAATGCCTGTTCCGCCCTTCAGGGCCACACAGAACAAGTCTGTTCCTACTCTAAAAAGACAGCCCCACCAGTACTGCAGATAGCTTCCATGAATCCCAGTACTGTCTGTTGTAGGTTTTCATACAGCCTGGTTTTAAGAGTTTTCACCATTTTAGTTCTTCGCTTGGTGTATGCTGGTTTCCCAAAATGTCTAAAACTTACTATAATTCTTAAGGATGTCTGCTGAATAGACCTCTCAGGCTAAGTGGGGCTTGGGTCAGACTTTAAGAGTGAGTCAGCTATGGAAAAAGGGAACAGAAGGGAAAGGTCATTTCAGTCTAGGGGAGAGGTTTGGGCAGAGGCCAAGAGAGAGCTGTGATTATTGGCAGATTGGGGCACAGCCAGGGATATTTTCAGGAAGCACTCAGGTCCTGTGGTAAAAGAGGTCTACATAGAGCTCTCCAATTTATTCTCACTCCCTGAAACCTGCTACACACCATTAGCCTGCGGCTCTGCTCATTTTTCAACAGATAGTGAGTGAGTGGTGTAAGAAGTGTGATCCTGTGCTAACCTAGGGCAGTGGGCAGTGGCAAGTGGCGGCAGCAGCAGTTGGGGTGGCACTGCTTGCACATACTCAGAGGAGAGACAGTTCCGGTTCTCACCTTCCCGGGTCCCAGGCACGTGCTGGTGGAAGTCAGTGGTCACCCAGGTGAGGGAGGAAGCACTGTCAGCAGGCCCACATGAGAAGAGATGGCCACAGAACCTTGGGCCCAGAGGTAACTGAGGTAGCCTTTGCCTTTTGGCAGGTGGGTCCACGTTTCATGTGCTGTGGCAATTCTGGAAGCAAGGTTTGTCAACATTGCAGAAAGAAGTCCAGTGGATGTGAGCAAAATCCCCCTGCCCCGCTTCAAACTGGTAAGGGCTTGTAGACACTACATAATTTCCTGACTTACGAGGCTCTGGGTAGAAGAGTACAGTGACCCCTGTACCCCTTGGTTTTGGTTAGAGTTTGTGATTCTCACTCTGTGGTTAAAGTCCTTAGTGGAGACTGGACGTGGTGGCTCATGCCTGTAATCCCAGCACTTTGGGGGGCTGAGGCGGGAGGACCATGATGTCAGGAGATCGAGACCAGCCTGGGCAACTTGGTGAAACTAAAATATAAAATTGCCTCTATTAAAAATATAAAATTAGCCGGGGGTGGTGGCACACACCTGTAATCCCAGCCCCTCAGGAGGCTGAGGCAGGAGAATTACTTGAACCTGGAAGGTGGAGGTTGTAGTGAGCCGAGACTGTGCCAGACCTGGATTAGAGCAGGCTGTTGTGTCCTTGTATTTTGGGAAGGGGCTAGTTCTTACTTGATTGACTTTGCATTTGGGAGGGGAACAATAGAGGAAGCTGTAGTGTCGGTTCATGCAATCACTGGTTTTCTTCCCCTGTGCTACAGAAATGTATCTTCTGTAAGAAGCGGAGGAAAAGAACTGCTGGCTGCTGTGTGCAGTGTTCTCACGGCCGCTGCCCAACTGCTTTCCATGTGAGCTGTGCCCAGGCTGCGGGTGTGATGATGCAGCCTGACGACTGGCCTTTTGTGGTCTTCATTACCTGCTTTCGGCACAGGATTCCTAATTTGGAGGTAAGAGAGGGTGCCATGCTGCAATCCTCTTGAGTTTTCGTGATCATTTTCTCTGCCTGTTTTCCATTTATTGTGTCAGCAACTGTTTCCTCAAGCATTCTGCATTATGGAGAGTGCTAATAAGTTAAGGGATTGTGAGACGGCCCCTGTCCATCTCCACTCCCTGCCTTGTACTCCATAATACAGTGGCACCAAACTGCTTGTAGCTGATTCCTTTTGATTATCTCTTTATTTGTCTGCCTCTCCAACAGGATAAACTCCTCGAGGGTCCATATCTTATTAATGTGGGCATCCCTATTACATACAGGCCATGCAGAACCTCCGAAAATGTTGAGAGCTCCCAAGAGTTAACCATGAATTGCCAGACAGTAGAGATTTCTGCAGTTCTCTGAATGGTAAAGCTTAGAGAAAAAGAGTCGTGTAATGTTAGTTAGAGGAGCTGTGAAGGGGGTTGGACTGAAGGCGGCATTTGGAATGGGTTTTGAACAATAAGAAGGAATTGTCTGCAGAGGCCATTCAAAGCTTCAGAAACAGAATGAGCAAGTTGCAGAAGAATGACCACGAAAAACTGGTTATGGGAGTGTGATGGGGATGATGCCTAAGAGGTGGACAGTGCCGGAGGATGAAAGCCCTGCACTGCCCCTCTCAGGAATCTGACCTTTCTTCATTGGATGAGGAGAACTTGTAATATTTTGATTCTGAATTATAGTTTGTGATAATCACTTGGGTGGTTGTTTGAAGAGAGGATTCAAAGAATAAGAATTTGAGGCAGAAAAACCAGTTAGACTAGGAGAGAGTGAGGTCTGAAATGGAAACACATAGGCAGGGCTTTGGGGTTGTATTTAACTTTGAGATCCCACAGCAGGTAGAATTGATAGGGTTTGTTGACCCTCCTGGGTTGAGAAGCGGAGAGGAAGAGGAAAGGGGAAGTAGATATTGAGGATGACTCAGGTTACTCCCTTGAGAGATGGGAAGGGTGCTAATATGATGATGTTAGTCCCTGCCATCAGGAACTGAGTTGAAGCAGTGTTGTTCTGCAAGGGAGAGAAGGAGGGATGAGAAAGAGAAAAGTAAATGCTGAGGTCGCTGGAGCATTCTGGAGAGTAAGTGAGGGTAAAGGTTTGGCTATTAGCATTTAACAGCATCGTTAAATCTAGTTCCCATTAGAAACTGGGCTCTGGAGATTCCCAGCGGAAGGAGCAGGTAGCAGAGCATGAAGCAGTAAAGCAGCTGAGAAAATGGAGCAAGCCAGTGGGAGGAAGGAGGGTCACACGTGATAGAGAAGGCAGGGCTGGTGTGGTGGTCACTAAGTACTACAAACTGGAGTGTCCCTGTGAGGTAGTCAGGTCAGAAGCCAGACCATAGTTGGGGAAGCCTCTGTCGTCAGTGAGTTACAGTCTAATTGAAGAGACGATCATATAGGTTTGACAACAATGTGGTAAATGCATATTCAAAGGAAGAACATGATACATGGCCAGCCCAGAAGGATGAACTTTTCACTCTGCCATTTGGGATTGTGGAAAAGTCCTGGTTGGCTGACTGCATTCTTTTTCATGAAGATGTTGAACATGACTGGTGGTCAGAGGTATGGTTAGGACCTTAGGAAGATGGGAACATATTCTGTGTGAGAAGGAGATTCTGGAGTGTCTCAAGGGCCCTGCCATGGCCATCCCTGGTACCCTTACCATGCCCTTCTTATTCTGAACTTGCCCTTGATGCAAGTAAAAACATGAGGTAGTACTGAGACACAACTATGATAGGGAAATAGGAGTTTTGTCATACACAGAATAATGATTCTGCGATAATTAGTACTGCACATGCTTAAGTTGGCATCTATAGACTGTTCGTGCTATGAGGAAATGGGGGGGGACTGTTGAGTCAATATTTCTTTCACCGATTTGTTCTTCAAATATTTATTGAGCATCTACTATGTGCCAGGCAGTTTTAGGTGCCAGGGCTATACCACTGAACAAGACAAAAAAGTCCTTGCCCTTCTGGTGTATACAGTACAGTTGAAAGATACATAGGAAGCAAGTAAATACACAGTATAGCAGATGGTGAGAAGTGCAAGGATAAAAATTAATCCAGATAAGGGGAATGGAAGATTAAGCAGTAAGGAATGATGCCAATAAGTTGACATTGGAATGGAAGTCAGTGTGCAAGTAACTGGGGAATGGCATCTCAGGTAGAAGAACCAGCAGTGCAGAAGCCCTGGGCGGCAGCTCGTGTGGCACACTTGTTCAGGGAACAGCAAGGGGGGCCAGCATGGCTGGGGCAGAGTGCCTGGGCAGGCTAGCAGGAGTGCTTGGACATGAGGCTGTCACATGCTTTGTGATCCTGTTTGCATCAAGGGGAAGTTCAAGATGAGAAGGGAAAAATGGCAATGGCAGGGCCCTTGGAATGGGGAGCAGTTTGTTGTGTGTAGCTGGAGACATCTGTGAAACCTGAGTTTTTGTGCCCTAGCCCTGAGGGTAACGCTGGTGCTAAGATGTGGTGCAGCTTTGCCTGGGGGCCCAGGCCGCGGGGCACCTATTGAGTCTCTCCTTTCATACTTTAATGTTTATGTATATCTGAGCTGCCTACGTGAGTAGGTGCTATTTGGTCAGTTCCTAGCAAGATCAGAGAAGTCCTTGTTGTTCAGAGAGTTTTGGGGATACGGTATAAGGGCCAGTTGTAGACTAGCTAAATTTATAGGAGGAGCTAAATTTATGGAGGAAAATGTACTGGTGTCTTCAGTGTTCTGGCTGGGATGGTGGGTATCTGGAAAGGCTTGGTTTAGCTCCCATCTCTTCTCTCCTTTTTACTTTTACTTTCCCATGCTTATCTTTCCCTGATAAGAAAGAACTAATTGATCTTGGTCTCCATATGCCAGGCCTGCCAACTCCATGTGTGAGTAACTGAAGCCTCTGTTTTTTTTCAGCGTGCCAAGGGGGCCTTGCAAAGCATCACTGCAGGTCAGAAAGTCATTAGCAAGCATAAGAACGGGCGCTTCTACCAGTGTGAGGTGGTCAGGCTCACCACCGAGACCTTCTATGAAGTCAACTTTGATGATGGCTCCTTCAGTGACAATCTTTATCCTGAGGACATAGTGGTAATATCTGCAAGGAGCTTCTTGAGCATTTTGAAATGGGGGGTGTTTCTAATGTCTGGCAGACTGTGTGTATGCCTGCTCTTCTTAGCCAGGTCATGGTCCCATCACCTAGTCCTCAAACAGAAAGAAGCATTTGTACGTCTTTCCTTGCAAAAAAAACTGTGTGCTGCAAGGGTATGCTGTTTTCCCTAGAAGTTCCCGGGAATCATAATTTTCTGTAATTCCTTGAAACCTGCATCTGTTGCAGTCTGAATTATCCTTGAGGGCATTCTAGTGCAATAGTAGAGCCCAGGCTTTGGAATCAAATATGCCAATACCAGCTTCATTGCTTAGTAGCTTTGTGATTTTAAGAGAATTATCCAACTCGTTTTTCTATCAGGCCCTCTTAGTAGATATATAGAATCTGCTTTTGTCTCTTCACAGTGGAGGGCTTTAGGGCTAAGTAGAAACTGCCTGGAGATACCCCTAGCCTGCTTATGTTGTTAACACCTGAGACACAGTGGCCCCACATGGATCCAATCCTAGGTCTGGCTTGGTATTGAGGACTTAGTTCGGGTTTTCCCTACTCCCACTTTGCCTTTTCACTTGGTAGACTAAGCACCAAAGTCGAGAGGAATGAAACCATTTTTTCATTTAACAAATCAGGTATTGACCCATGTTTATACCACATTAGCCATCTAGTTGCTAAAAGGACATTCCTTAGTTATAAGGTAGACTTATAGTAAAGGCGACATTAGTAGTACTCAGAGCAGTAGCATAGCTATGATTTATTTATTTTTGAGACAGGGTCTCACCCCGACGCCCAGGCCGGACTGCAGTGGCACAGTCTCTCAGCTCACTGCAGCCTCAATTTCCTGGATTCAGGTGATCATCTCACCTCAGCTTCCCTGGTAGCTGGGATTACAGGCATGCACCACCACACCCTGCTAATTCTTAAATTTTTTTGTAGAGACGGGCCTTTGCCATGTTGCCTAGGCTGGTCTCGAATTCTTGGACTCAAGCAATCTGCCCACGTTGGCCTCCCAAAGTGTTAGGATTACAGGCATGAGCCACTATGCTCCGCCTTACTGTTTTGAGAGACCAGGTCTCACTGTCACTCAGGCTGAGTGCAGTGGCTGTATCATAGCTCACTGCAATCTCAAATTCCTGAACTCAAGTGATCCTCCTGCCTCAGCTTCCTACATAGCTAGGACTACAGGCACATGCAGCCATGCCTGGCTAATTTTAAAATTTTTTGTAGTTAAAAGGGTCTTGCTTTGTTGCTCTCAGGCTGGTTTTGAACTCCCAGCTTGAAGCGATCCTCACACCTTGGCCTCCCAAACCACTGGGATTACAGGAGTTTGAGCCACCACATGTGGCCCCTGCTGTAATTTATTAAGCTGGTACAGTATGCCAGTCACTATGCTAAGTGCTTATTTCAGATATCTCTCTATCTTCTCATACTCACTCTGAGAAGTATGTGGTATTATCTCTAACTTACAGTGGTCTCAGGATTCCGTTTTCTAAAAGTTAGAGTATCCCAAAGAGCTTGTGTTTCTGTGGGTTATATCTAAAAATATTTAGTCTTATTAGAAATTAAAACAGGTTGATTTAAAATAATGCATTTTTTTAAGATTAAAAAGTAACTTTTCAGGCTGGGTGTGGTGGCTCACACCTGTAATCCTAGCACCTTGGGAGGCTTGGGGCGGGTGGATTGCCTGAGCTCAGGAGTTTGAGAGCAGCTTGGGGAAGACTGTGAAACCCCGTCTCAAACAAAACAAAACAAAAAACCAAAAAAGGTAACTTTTCTAAAACAAAAACAATTAGAAGAATGTCATTTCTGCAATTTTACAAATCTCTTTAATGTCACTTCTTGATTCAATCTATTGTGATACACTGTTTAGGTTAAAGTATAGAAAGGAAATTCATCCTTGCACAGATATGTAATTGGAAAAAGGAGAAGTTTTTTGTTTGTTTCTGTTTTTTGAGATAGAGTTTCACTCCCATCACCCAGGTTGGAGTGCAATGCAATGATCTCAGCTGACTGCAACCTCTGCATACCAGGCTCAAGCGATTCTGCTGCCTCAGCCTCCCAAGTAGCTGGGGACTATAGGCACTTGTCACCATGCCCAGCTAACTTTTACGATTTTTTTTTTTTGAGACAGAGTTTCACTTTTGTTGCCCAGGCTGGAGTGAAATGGTAGGATCTCAGCTCACTGCAACCTCCTCCTCCTAGGTTCAGGCAATTCTCCTGCCTCAGCCTCCTGAGTAGCTGGGATTAAAGGCATGCACCACCACGCCTGACTAATTTTGTATTTTTAGTAGAGACAGGGTTTCTACATATTGGTCAGGCTGGTCTCAAACTCGCGACCTCAAGTGATCCACCTGCCTTGGCCTCCCAAAGTGCTAGGATTATAGGCGAGAGCCATCTTGCACATCTTCAGCTAACTTTTTAATTAAATGAGATTTAATTTTAGATGCGGTTTTGCAATGTTGCCCAGGCTGGTCTCAGAACTCCTGAGTTCAAGCAGTCCACCTACCTCGGCCTCCCAAAGTGCTGGGATTACATCTGTTGAGCTACCACATCCAGCCAAGAGAAATATTTTAATAGTCTTTCAGGCAATTGTGTTTATTGTTCTCTCATATCCACCAAAAATCAATGGAAGTAACAGCTGTTTTTGTTTGTTTGTTTTTAAAGAGATGATGTCTTGCTTTGTTGCCCAGGCACTTCCCGAGTAGCTGGGACTACTGGCATGACTGGCTATTTGTAGAAACAGGGTCTTGCCATCTTGCCCAGGGTGGTCTCAAACCCCTGGGCTCAAGCGATTCTCTTGCCTCAGCCTCCCAAAGTGCTGGGATTACAGGTGTGAGCCACCGCTCCTGGCAGGTTCTTAAAAGTTAGTTTCAGCGTGGCATCTGAAAGGTCAGTGAACTTTTCATACTGTTACACTAAAGCCCATTGGTCTCTTCTGAATGGATCTTTCACCCATGCATCTTTTTATAACATCTACGTTGGTCATTTAGAAAATATTGGTGCACTGGCCTATGGATAGCCTAGAGATGTTGTTAAATATTATTAAATACTTCTAAAATTACATTTGTTAGTATCACTTATAATCATCAAAAAACTTGCTGCCTCTCTGAAATGCTAATATTTGCTTGAAAGCCTGAATTTTGTTATTGGCAACAGATAACGACTCGTGTTTTCCTTGACATGACAGCGTTCACGTCATCATTTTCAAGAATATGTCTGCCAGATACCTAAGTCTGAATAACCATAGTTTGTCAGTCATTTTTTTTCTTTTTAAAATTTTTATTTTGTAGATTTTTTTTTAAAGATAGGGTCTCACTTTGTTGCCCCATACCACTGCTGGAGTGCACTGGTGTAGTCATGGCTCACTGCAGCCTCATCCTCCTGCGCTCAAGCAATCCTCAGCCTTCCAAGTAGCTGGGACTACAGGTGCGTGCCCCCATACCTGGCTAATTTTTGATGTTTTGTAGAGATGGAGTCTCCCCTATGTTGCCCAGGCTGGTCTAGAACTCCTGGGCTAAAGCGATCCTCCTACCTCTCTCTCCCAAAGTGATGGGATTATAGGCATGAGTCACCGTGCCCAGCCCAGTCATATTTTTCAAATAAAACTGTAATTCTGTGAACAAAGCAACCAGTGTAGTTCACAACTCTAACAACACAGATATATTTCTTTGAGACAACCAAAAGTGTCTTATGAGGACTTAACACATGTACTTGATTAAAATTTAACAAAATTAATAATTTTTACTGCTTCATCAAGGGATATTGTTATATGCAACTGAGTTTTTACTCTTTTCTCCTAAATTATGAGTGTACAGTGGTGAAAAATGCAATAACAACTATAGTAGAGCTTGGGGTCAGTGCCTTCATTTGTGCGCAGGTGCCAGCAGTTGTGCCTATCCTAGGTTTGACACTCACTATAAATGACAACACAGTGACAAAGGTTAATAGTTTAATATTATAAAAATAACTGGCCAGGCACAGTGGCTCACACCTATAATATCAGCACTTTGGGAGGCCAAGGCAGGCGGATCCACGAGGTCAAGGAGGTTGAGACCATCCTGGCTAACATGGTGAAACCCTGTCTCTACTAAAAATACAAAAAATTAGGCATGCTGGCACATGCCTGTAATCCCAGCTACTTGGGAGGCTGAGTCAGAAGAATTGCTTGAATCCAGGAGGCGAAGGCTCAATTAGCCTGGCTAATTTTGTATTTTTAGTAGAGATAGGGTTTCTCCATGTTGGTCAGGCTGGTCTTGAACACCCAACCTCAGGTGATCCGCCCACCTGGAGCTCCCAAAGTGCTGGGATTACAGGTGTGAGCCAAGATCAGGCGACTGCATTCCAGCTTGGGCAACAGATTGAGACTCCGTCTCCAAAAAAAAAAAAAAAAAAAAATTCTTATAGTTGAGTACAGTTCTAGCATTTCCTCATGGCAGAGCCCTGGAGAACCCTCAGAGGAACAGTTGAGGGAATGTAAGAAGGACTCTTGATTCTGGCACTTAACTCCTATGTTTACTAGGTTTATTATAGCTGGATTTTTTTTTTTTTTTTTGAGACAAATCTTAACTCTGTTGCCCAATCTGGAGTGCAGTGGTATGATCTCGGCTCACTGCAGCCTCCACCTCCTGGGTTCAAGCGATTTTTCTGCCTCAGCCTCCTGAGTAGCTGGGACTACAGGCACGTGTCACCATGCTCAGCGATTTTTTTTCATTTTTTGTTTTTTAGTAGAGATGGGGTTTCACTAGGTTGGCCAGGCTGATCTTAAACTCCTGACCTCGTGATCTGCCCTCCTTGGCCTCCCAAAGTGCTGGGATTACAGGTGTGAGCGACCATGCCCGGCCTGGATTGTTTTCTTTTTTTGTCACCTAGAAGCAGGAATGGGCAGAGAAGGAGGGAGACTTTGACTTAGCAAGGTCTTTAACTATTAATTTTTCAACCCGGAGAGAGCTGCCTTGCTCTCTAAAACAGTTACTTTGTCTTGGTTCACTCTTCCCTGAGTAGAGGACAGTTACCTTTGTGTGCAGGTGGACCTTCCTTTCACCTTCCTTCCTTCCTGTTTCCTCAGAGCCAGGACTGTCTCCAGTTGGGTCCTCCTGCTGAAGGGGAAGTGGTCCAAGTGAGATGGACAGACGGCCAAGTCTATGGAGCCAAGTTTGTGGCCTCCCACCCTATCCAAATGTACCAGGTATCCAAAGATTCTATCTTCCTAGGGAGTAGGGGGTGTTTGATTAATTCTGTGCTTCCTCTTGAGCCAGAGGCGAGAGTCTTTGCTCTTGGGAGAACGAATATGTTGGCAGCCCTTTCAGAGCTAGGGGTCTGCCCTGTGTCCATTCTGCTAAATGCGAAGTAAAGTAGTCCTTATTTTAGTGCTCTAACTCCTTCTTTGACTGTAGGAGACTGCCATTGTGCATGGTGGACCAGGGAAAGAGTCAGGGATATCCTAGCCAGAAGGCCTTTGTTTCCTTGGTAGGTGGAATTTGAGGATGGCTCACAGCTTGTGGTTAAGAGAGATGATGTGTACACGCTGGATGAAGAGCTTCCCAAGAGAGTCAAGTCTAGACTGGTGAGTATTTTCTGTGTGTCCCCAGTTCCTGTCTCGGAGGGAGGGAACAAGATAAGGATGCATCCTTTTGTATTTTTCTTGGAGTAGCTGACCACAAAGTGATTTTTTGGCTTGCTATTCTTCTATAGTCAGTAGCCTCAGACATGCGCTTCAATGAGATTTTCACAGAGAAAGAGGTTAAGCAAGAAAAGAAACGGCAACGAGTTATCAACTCAAGATACCGGGAAGATTATATTGAGCCTGCACTATACCGGGCCATCATGGAGTAGGTGCTTCCAGGGTCTAAGAGATTCCCAGCCATCAAGGCAAGAGCACTCTGGGTTCCACAGCACAGCAGACACGGAACTCTGAAGTCTCTGAAAGTGAAGTTGTAAAAAGAAAAGGAATGAAATAACCGACCCATCATCTTCTCACCCACCCTCATTGCATTCCGCTGTAGTGAAAGGACAAGCTGTTTCTGGGCATGTGGCAGCAGTCGCTGATCTCCCAGCTGAGGGGCTGTGCACTGGAATGCTGTGGCTGCACTGGCCCCAGTCCATAGAGGGGTCAACTGTGCTGGCTGGACTGGCTGTCCTGTTCCTGGTCTAGGACTTAGCTTTGTAACTATCACCTGCACCGACTAGGCTGAGGTGCTGGTACTTGCCCCAACCCCCACTTTTGTATTTATGTGTGTGTGTGTGTGTGTGTGTGTGTGTGTGTGTGT